TTGGATCATGGAGCTCAGCAAGCACATCGCAGTACGAAAGGAATCAAATTCACACCCTTCTTGTTGCGCCCAGAAAGTACTTATAGCAACAATCAATACGAAACTAACGATTTTAAATTGGCTCACCACTTTAGTAGCCTATTGGTCCCAAGCAAACGATTAACGTACCCTATTCTAGTTGAAATTCTATTACTACACTATGTTTGTTTTGATTCACTATGAAAGTTTGACAGATAACATCAGGGGTGTGTGGATTCATGCAGAACATGCAGGGGTGAGTGAAATAGCTTGGGACTGCTTGGGACCGTTGTTCTGGTACTGAGTGAGCCAAAAATAATAATGATTTTCTTCGGGACCCAGTGGTCTTAGAGTTACCTCTATGGGTATAGTATACACCGTGAATGTGATTCATAGAAAAATGATCATTTGCAAGCAGCGCGTTCAATTCAGCCCGGAACTGTATCCAGTTGCTGGTCTTGAAAATGTATGCCTAATAAATACAACGCTAGTTTGATTTCTCCCAAGCTTCGATATTTTCTATGACTCTCGGATCCAATTTATACGTGTATTCGTCCGGAATCACAACCCAAATTCAATCCAGAATCACATCCAGTCTTCGGTATCGGAACAGTGACGTAAGCAAAAAAAATATCTACAGTCAAGAAATAAAATCGACACGGTTTTCTTAGCCAGCCTCACCAGCCATCCTTTTTCAACGGTGGTGCGCGTAGTCTCAAACATCATTCCGGACCGGATGATCAATACCTCTTCACTGCCCTGAGAGGCTACGGCTTAATGAACACAAAATGGAACCGGATCTTGTAAATACAAAATGAAAATCAAAAATAAGTAGAAATCAACAGTTCAGTGAATAAAAATACATTGAAATTAAATTTTTTAATGGCTTTTAACTTACTTGAAAGTATAGTAGATCAATTTATAATATTATAATTGAGCAATGATAGATACACAATACGACGGTAAATTTTATTCTTATCATCCAATTGTTCGCAAATGACAAGGCATGCCTTTTTCCTTAGGTTTAAAGGATGAAAATGTAACCATTCCCCATGCTATTTTGCCAAAAACTTGTTCCCGAAAATCGTCATTTTCGTATAGTAACTATACTTAACCGCCCTTTCCCCATATGGTACATTTGCCAGTTACGTGGCACGCCATTGGTGGCACGCACCACACACATATTAGAGAATGAGTTACATACATTACACATGTCGTTGCATGGAATTCGAACCCTGTACCATAGAGGTAACTCTAAGACTAGTAGGTCCCGAAGAAACGTGCTCAATTTTTTGGCTATCTTCGGTCTCAAGCTAATCGATTCACCCCTCGAAACACAGGAAAATCCACTAACCCCTCATTTTATCTGTCAAACTTTCATAGCGAATCATAACAAACATTGTGTAGTACTAGAATTTTGACTAGAATGGGGTACGTTAATCGATATGCTTGGGACCAATAGGCGTCATGGAGTGAGCCAATTTAAAATCTTTAGTTTCCACCGGTTGCCTGTACCATCCGATCACCAGCCACTTGCCTTGTCATCTGAGCTTTCCTAGAATTCATCTTAAAGGCAGCTCAATAATCAATCAAAGCTTGCTGGAAAATGAATACCTATCAGCACTCCTGATCACAACTCTAGCTTCTTCAAGGCCCAGTGCGAGAATGATTTATTCATCGATGTCTTACATGAGACCAATGTTACCTCTTCACCTCTCCAATTCCAAGGATGCTCGGTTATTTTTAACAAGATCAATGCACTCATTGCCGTGAGCCATGCGATTTAAATTAATTAGGCGTAGAACACAAATTAAAAAAGGGTTTAGCTTGGGATTGAACCACTGGCTTCATCTTATTATTAGACTGAATCAGTATTGTAGAATAATGAATCTAATATGTCGTTTATAAAGCATTTACAAGGCATGCGATTAAAACATGGACGCAAAGTGGTATAAGAGCTATTAAGCTGACTGTATCCACCTTTATTCAGCAATATTATAAAGCAATGCAAATCTAATAATGGACTTCTAATAAAGTATGTTATTAAATCAATTGAAAACAGTCGAATTAAAGCGTCAATTTATGTGCAAATTACACTGATTTAGTTTGTTATTAGATCAAACTTCTGGCATTTAATTGCGAAGACAGTTATCATTTAAACAGCTTTTAATAAGAAAATTAATCAGATCAGAGCAAACAATGGAATAAATGTGCATCTATCGATCTCAATGAGCTGATCGAAGTAAGCCGCGCTGTGAAAATGACGTGTTTTTGTTTTACTGCGTCATTTTCGTTCTAGTGAAAATGTTATAAATTTACAAAATCATTTTTAAAAAGTTTTAATTTGAAAGTGCAGAAGTAATGTTGAAAAGTGCATTAAGGAAAATTTTCAAATTCCTATCTGTTGCATGTGGTGCCGACTGTTCTAACCTACGCGTAGCTATGCTCAGCTTTACATTTTCGTTCCTCTGTCCTCGATGGGAAATATCCATCTAATTCAAGACGATTATTTCAAAACTTACTAAAAACGTGTCAATCAAGTATTGCACTACTGTTTGATTTAAAGTTTCAGTACATTATCAATGGTGAAAATAGTTTCGGAATGTTTGCGTTCTTGAAATGGGCTATTGTAGCTGCGGTAGAGCCAACAATCAATACGAAACTAACGATTTCAAATTGGCTCACTACTTGACTAGCCTATTGGTCCCAAGCAAATCGATTAACGGACCCCATTCTAGTATAAATTCCAGTACTACACTATGTTTGTTTTGATTCGCTATGAAAGTTTGACAGATAAAATGAGGGATTAGTGGATTTTCTTAAGTTTCGAGGGGTGAATCGATTAGCTTGGGACCGAAGAGAGTACCAGAGCTGAGCCAAAAAGTTGAGCTCGTTTTTCGGGACCTTCTGGTCTTAGAGTTACCTCTATGGTAGAGCTGTCACCTTCTAACTCCCGGGTTCAAGTTTCTTTGCATTCATAAGAAATAATTGCAGGCAGATTTTATCCATAATACCACTGCTAGACAGTGGGAGCTAGGCCACGGGCGAATCTTCATTCTAATCTTCGATTCCACATACTATTAAAAACCTTTTACACATCAGAATGAATTGTGCATATGTTTAGGATAAACACACATTTTCAGGCGCAAAGGAGCAACAGGGTCGAGCTGATAACGTTTCTTTATTCCAAAATATGAATAATGCTTTGAAAAATATGTTTAGGTAATGGGCAGCAACAACGGATAGATAAACTACTTACAGCTCTATTTATTAAATGCTTGATATAACGATTGCCAGCAACGCCGGCTGGGCGTATCCTATGGCTTACCCTCTTCTTCTTCTTCTTCTTCTTCTTCTTCGCATTTCAAGCTTATTGCATATCGCATATTAGCTTATTGCGTGCTCTCAACTTAGTGTTCTAGATGCACTTCCACAGCTATTAATTGAGAGCTTTCGATGCCTGTACCATTTTTGCATTAGTATAATTGTGTGGCAAGTACAATCATACTCTATGCCCAGGGAAGTCCAGAAATTTTCAAACCCGAAAAATTCATAGACCAAACCGGGAATCGAACTCAGCCACCTCCAGCATGGTCTTGCTTTGTAGCTGCGCCTCTACCGACTGAGCCAAGGGAGGCCCCAGATGGCACAGATGGCTTACCCTCCCTACTAACAAAAATCCACCCTTCCCGTGACACTTATGAGGGGTCGTAGAGTTCTCTGCATCTCTCTTAAGTAAGTATCGGACTAACATTCCTCCCCTTTCCCCACCAGATGTAAGGACGTGGCCAGAAGGGAGGGAGACACATCCTTTATCTAAGAGGTAGTAATTAATCACAAATTACTATCTAACAGCAACGGATGACGGTGGGTCTCCTTTTTAACAACAGTTTGGAGCTCGTATCACCTACGCCATTGTGCAACCTGGTTTATGCTATGCTACGCTATCTATCGATCTCAATGAGCTTTTTTCAGCACATAATTCGACAACTCGTTTTATTCAGCATTTTACACTGTAATACAGCATTTATTCAATATATATGCTTATTTGTGACAGAATTGTTTGTTGGGGTGTTAATATGAAACAATTTAATTGACTTTCTATTTATTGAATTACAGCGTTCGCTATTTGATAGATTTTTGATTGAACACAGATAAAGGACAAACTCAAATGTTTTTTGACATAATTATGCTACATCAAAATGCTATAATAAAGTGTGACGTACTTTGAAGTATTTTAAACCGGTTTAATGCATTTTAATTAGCGAATTTTCACTCCAGTTACTGTAAATAAACATTATTCAGTAGCTACCGGAAAATTGGTTGTACATGGAAAGTAATTTTTAATGGGATAGGAACTGAATTGTGCAATTTGAAAATTCAATTCAATTAAGGATCTTGAATATCGGGTATTTTCAAAATTTTGATTTGAAATTTGTTTATTGTTGAATAAGTTGTATAAACGAATAAATTTATTATTAAATTGAGTATAACAACCACAATCTCGTAGTCCTACGTCAATAATGCGGTCGTGCTTGGGACACAACTCTTAACGTTTTTTTTATATTTCACCATAATTATTTTCAATCAGTCGAGTTTTGTAAGGAAAATTGGCTCATATATATATTTATTGCTGCCAAGATCCACCCTGATGCGGTTGCACTTTACTGCTCTATGCCTGTGTATGCGTAGCGCGACCAGACATTCTGCTAGTGTGGGTACCCAATAGCCTTGTCTGGCGCTGTTGCTATTGTTGATGGTACTACTTCCTACCAACGTAAAACGATGTATGTATGTAGGTACATATAAGCATACGAATTCGCTTCCATGTGTGCGAGCGCGATTACTCGTCTAGCTAGCCTGTTGTTGTTGGTAGAACGAACAGCCATCAGAGCACAGCAGGCACGCAGCAGCAGACTCACCATTGAGGAGGGTTCCACGACAGTCGGAGCGAACCGTTCGTTTCAAAAGTGACGCGCTCGTTGGTTGCTGCACAACATCGTTCGTTCCCGTCGTTGTTTGTTACGTGGTGGAAGTAGTGGAGGAAGTTTTTCTTCTGTTTTTTTTTGGAAGTGATTATATTTTTTGCCGTTTAGGACCGGAATCTGAAAGCGCTTTTCTTGAATGAAGATTTGGTTCAAATTTGGTGGATAGATTTCGGATTGCGCGCAATTTTTGAGGTGTCAAATTAGGGAGGTTCATATCAATATTGAAAGGGAATCTTCCGAAAGAGGGGGTAGGAAGCTGAGTATGGTGAGGGTGGTTTAGATCGAATCACCCCGTTTAGTGCAATTAGATTGGTTGATCTGAAGAAATTTGAGGATACCCGCCAGCGTGAGTGTGTCCGATACCGGAATAAGGTGAAAACAAAAGTGCGCGCCACTCTAAGCTATCGAGTTGTGATAGAAAGGAGTGAGCAAGTTGGAAGGAAGAAGACGATTCACGGCGTGATTGCATCATTAATTCGTTGAATCACACACTACGTAAATAAAGAGGTATATAATATCGTTATCATAACGGAAGATTTATAGTGACGACCGGTGGCAGAAAAGTAAACATTCCTTCGGAAGGAAGTTAATTGGAATATGAATTTTTGATTGTTTATTAAAAAAGTGTTATCGAATTCGATGGATGTGACCCCTTTCGATATGGATAAGTTAAGCGTGAATAAGTGACACTGGCTTAGTGTGTATGGTAGTTAATTGTTGGTTGAAATAGTTCAACTATTTGTTTTGGTGATATCAATAAGCTTCAAAATGTCGGTTCAAGCGAAGCGTCAACATTGTTACTTGTGCGATTTGCCCCGGATGCCGTGGGCAATGATTCACGATTTTACGGAAGCTGTATGCCGAGGATGTGTAAATTACGAGGGAGCAGATCGTATCGAGTTGGTTTTGGATACCGCTAGGCAGATGAAGCGGATCCATGCCGGTGCCGGCGGCGGCAGTGGCAGTGGATCTGGAGGAAGTGGTAGCGGGGGCAGCAAACGTGGCCATGAGAATGGCGAGATGCCACCGCACAGATCGGTTCCACAGGCACATCACCACTACTCGGTCCGAGCCGGTCCCAACGGACCGACGCTAGTAGATTTCACACCGAAGCACGAGCCCCACGACATTACCGGTGTTCGACCAGGGGCCCGGCTACAGCAGCATATTCCACCCCATCACTTGCCGCACGGCAATCGGCAGCAGCAAGTACCGCCGGCACTTTCCGTCAACTTGAAACGGCCACCGCCGGATGATGACGAGCACGGTGGTCCGATGGATGGACCGACGGGCAGTGCCAAACGCGGTGCCGAAGATCCCTCGGTTGCCATCCAGCAGCAGCAGCAGCAACAACAACAACAACAACAACAACAACAGCAGCAGCAGCAGCAACAGCAACAGCGACCGCCGCTGACACGCGGCGAATCGCTACCGGCGGCCCCGTTCGTTCAGGATCGGCAGCAGCCCAACTACAAGGATAAGCACCCGGTGCGAACTGCTTCCTTCGATACGTCCTCGTTCAAACCAGGCGGTAAGTTTTCTCCACATCTTCCAATAGTTTTTTCTATAGTTAGTGATAGTTTCATGTTCTTGTACCACGTTGAAATTGGTTGGTTTTACTTCTGTTGGAAACTGGTGGGTGTTTTGAAGTGTGCAAGCTGTAAATTTTCATCTTTTTCTGGGGTTATTTTATTGTAATGTGTGGTTGGTGCATTAAGCCCGTTGAATCAAACTGTCCAAGTTACCAGTAAGCCTGATAATTCGCGTTTTTGTAGCATAATGCTGATGTACGGCTAAAATAAAGTTTAGATGCATTTAACTAACTGTATATCATGCTTACATTGTAGAAAAACAAATTAGAGGACTACTTGGTGACCTGTGCTCAACAAATAGTTGTAGTAACAATTTTTACAATATATTAAATGACATTGTAAAAAAAATCAGTACTGATTTAATTATGACGTGTTGGTAAACACTTCATTTCTGAATTGAACTTGAAAAGCTACTTAAAACTTCATAAAACTTAAACAAAGAATTTTTACGGTATGTGAAAAGTTATGTATTCTAATAGTTCGTTCAAATTTCCCAGGAAATTTATTACAAATTGTTACTGAAATTTACCGAAAATAATCCAGTAATAATACTTCGCAGTGTAGGTGCAATTTTGATGGCACATCTCCAGTGTATTTAATTTACTTGCAGTCTACACGTAAATACCATAAACCTAATTTCATATTTAAGACTTTCCGGATCGTTGTGAGGCGTTGGCCATGATTAGATAATCAAGTTTGCATTTTTTTTTAATTTCTCTTCGGTGATCCGGAAAGTTAAACAGAATTTTGCAATAAATTTATCTGCCTTGATAAGTGCCGTCGGCTTAACCTCAATCCACCTGTTAATCAACTCTCAAAAGTCCTGTAACGTCACTGTTTACCTGTGCACCAACTTTCAAATCAAAGATTTAATGCCATATTCATACTGGCATCGGTTGAAAATACACTTAATCTGCTAGGTTACTCGATATCTATCAATCACTGCTCAAAACCCAAACAAAATTTAATGAAACAATATTACGTTAAAAGGATACAAATCATTGAAGCTTGTAGATGTTGTGCCTTTTGGACCCGGTTTGAACATAAATATGCCGATTTAGCGATTTCAAAGCTTATGAATATATCAAAAGTGAGGTTACCGGACGTCAGGTGAAAGTTCATCGCTTTTTAATGATGCAATGGGGAAACTGATTCTCAAATGCATGCAGTAGCAATCATTATTCAGCGGATGATTTTCTTAGGTGATTCTCGTCAGGAAACTTTGGCAATTTGTTGTGTAGCTTTTATGAAATTCAATGGAAATTTCTTCAAAGGTTTTACTCCATTAATATTCTTATAAATCTTGCCCTCATCAAGCTACTCAGACTTTTCTCGGCTTGATTTTCAATTTGGAAAAAATCTTAATCTAAACATTGCGATGCCAACATTGGTGGCATTCGGGCGAAACTAATTTAGTAAACAATGGCTTCTACCGCCGAATTCTGCCATTCTTGTAAACTTATCAAACTAACTGGTAGAGGAAACATTCCCCTAATTGATAGTGTTGTTAGATTGCATATGTGAGCTTCTATTCACGAGAAATCGTTGTGTACAAAAGCAGTTGCGCCCTTATGAAAGGTTTGAGAACCATAAAATAAATCGACCGATATTTTTTGCTTCAATCTTATGCATGTATCCTTATGATAACTTTTCTCGGAATATTCTAATATTTTTTCACGATTCCTACAATTTATACATAGTTTTGTAAAGAGTTCTTCGGAGAGCTTCTTTTGTTTTATCTAAACAACCGTTTATCATCAACTCGTGAAGAAATCCACTAGAGAATCGGCTGAAAACTTTCAAAATCATCAGGAGCTAATACTAAACCATTCGAAAACTTTAACATGGTATGTGCTAGGAATCTTCAAACATTTCTTAAATAACTTTCCCATTTGTTGCATAAAGTTACATGGTTCAATTAAAAAATCAACAAACCTACTATTATTTCGAATACTTCTTACAACAGTCCGAAGTCAATAGAGGAATTTCATAGGACATTGGACTGCCCAAGTAACATTGCAGGTTTTATCGTGGTTTTATAGCATTCTACAAGTCTAAATCATGGTATACAGAACCCTCATAAAACCAAAATTGTTACTTGGGTGTTCAGTGGCGTCGCGTAACCTCACTTTTTATTTAAGGTCATGTTCACATTCAAATCAGTTGCAAAAGGCACAGGATCTTCTAGTTTCACTGATTTGAATCCATTGGAACCAATATTGTTTTATTTCTTTAATTTTGAAAGTTGTTGACCAGGTAGATTGAGGTTAGGACGATGCCACTACTGTTATGCAAATAGCGGCACTTAAGTACTCCGAATTTTCTCTGTTGAAAGTTCATTCAAGGATATCCGTTGGCGTTAGGATTACCTAACTTATCATGAAAACTAACTCAGGTTTTGTTTATCAAATAAGTAATATTGAGTGTAACTATGTCTCTTCTTTGAGATAGGTGTAACGGAAAATAGTTAGAATTTTCACAGGTTGCAATATTAATGCTAATTTTTGATCATCTGCGAAAAAAATTGATTCTTCTAGTGTTCAATATAATTCTCAACACGTAGTTAGAGCTTTGTGTCAATTTTGCAGTTAGTTAAAGCATAGACAAATTTTGAAGAATTCAAAGGCAGAACCAAATTTGGCCCAGGAAAAATTCTGCTGTCTTAGTAATAACCCATCTAACCTAGTAATCCTTTCGACTTTCAGATGTATGCTTTATTTTAAAGTATATCGCACAACCGGGAAAATTTTCAAAATGCCGTGGAAAAATCTGGACAAAACCTGGAAATTGTTAATTTCGCCTTAACCAGACTCTCAAAGCATAAACAATAATCAAAATATTGCTTGAATATGGCATTAAATCTGGTTTTGAAAGTCGGTTTTGTACTACGCCACTGATTTCACGCACTCCTAATTTCTCATTAGTATACGGAAAAAATATAAATTTTGAAAACATCACAAAACACATTAAAAAGTAAATAAATTTGGTGTTGCGCGAAATTATGGCACATCACGGTATACTTATTTCTAGCTCCACAATAACGGTTGCTCCTCAAGAAAACCGAAATATCCCCCAGAGATAATATTCTTTTCTCATAACCTTACAAAGCAAACTCCGATTTTTTATGATAATTGTTTACAGATCATCTTTTCCTTTAATTCTACTTCTAGATGCTTGGAAAATATGAAATCACGTTACTGTCAGTCGAAATTTCCTGATAGCCTTCACCGATATTTCGTCATTCAAATGCGAATTTTTAGAACTAACCGGTGTATTATCAGACTTCGTTGACTTTTTATACTGAATTTACCTGAAAACTGTACTGGTAGTACAAGTACCGGTACTGTTCGAAGCACTTAATTCACTCTATGCTTTTCTAGAAGTCCTACATTTAGTTTATTTTCATTTTACTGCGCCTAGTTTTTCGTTGGAGATGCTTAACGTAAATATCAGTCTTAAAGTGAACATTTTATTCGATCGATGAGGAAATGAATGTATAGAACTGATAGTTCCGTTATAGAGACCGAGGTGACAATTATCACTTCACTATCATTTCACTGTCACCTCACCTTACATGCCGCGCAGAACAGGCCTATGTATATAGACAGTAGAAAGCGAGCAAAGGGCAATTTTGAGGAAGGTACGAATCGGATCGAGCATTCCTTTTATCAAACTCACCCGTTGGTGAGGGGTATTTCCCCTCACCGCGACTGGCAAAAGGAATGATCGCCGATTCGCTCATGTACAGTGAGTGGTAGAGGAAACAATAGCTGCAATTTCAAAACCATCGACTTGATGTTTACGTCAGATGGCGACTTGAGTGTGTTACAATCGATAGAACCGTTACCGCTCATCGGAGGTACATGAGCGAATCGGCGATCATTCTTTTTGCCAGTGGTGGTGAGGGGAAATACCCCTTACCAATGGGTTGGTTTTGTAAAAGAAATGCTCGATCCGATTCGTACCTTCCTCAAAATAGTACTTTGTTCACATTCTACTCTCGGGTGACTCTACCCAACATTCCATACTGCGAACAGTGAGATTTACGTCACTGCCAACAGATTATTTTTTTGCTTGATTTGTTTTCCGTCGATCTTGTTTTCCGTGCTGAGCACAGATACCAGGGAGGTAGCTCCCACACCTGGACCATACCACCTATCGACCCATCAACTCATGAACCTGGGACCAACGGCTTTACTTCTAGTACTCAGAGATGTTATGCCTGGGATTGAATCCAGGCCTGCTGGGGTGAGAGGTAATCACGCTTACCACTACACCACCAGCGCCGCTTTAGCTGATATCTTAGAAAATGTTATTTGTTGGCTGAGCCTCGGCAATTGTTTTGCTGAATCTCAGCAAAATAAATTGCAGAATTACTCGGCTGTTGGAGTCGCGGCGAAAAATTTTAAGTGTGCATGGGTACCGGTAATTTTCCGGTATTACCGGTAGTGAACCTCTCATTACCGAATTACCGGTGCTAGCAAAAAAGGTCCGATACTGGCATCCCTATTTGCATTCCTCATTTTTTGCTGTGCATTTATGTATTTACTGAACTGTTTATCAAACTGATGAAACTTTTAAGTTATACCCCGTTCACATTACAGCGTATATCACGTGATATACGCTGTCTTGCAATGAGCACTCATACATCTAGTTTTCACTGGAAATCATATGTATGGGTGCTCATTGCAAGACAGCCTATATTACGTGATATAGGCTGTAATGTGAACGGGGTATTAGACAGAAGAATCTCCAGGTTTAGTTTGTTTTCATGTATTCCTCAGCTCCAAGCTCCAAGAAGAGTTCTGTAGTTTGCCAAAGATCTTTTATGACTAAATGAAAAAATGCTCTCAATTTTCGAAAAGTATTAAGTTATGTGGAATATGTCATATGTTTTTTTGTGTGTCATATGAATTAGATCTAGATAGAGCTGGAATTAGGGCGTAACATCCTTTGTAAACAATGACTTTTAAAGATGATTTCTAGGAACTCAATGCATGCCCACGTAAACCATCATAACCGTCGGGTAGGGCAAGTCGTCCCCTACCCGATGGTGTTGTTGATTTGCGTTGGCGAGCCTTAACTTTCTTGAAATGATCGAAAGAAGTCATTGTTTACAAAAGCTGTTACGCCCTAATTCCAGCTCTTTCTAGAGATATCAAAATTATCGTAAGAGATTCAATCTATACCAAGCTTTGGAAAACTCCATTCTTTCAAGAGTTGGTCCGAACGAAGCAAACCGAAGGTACAAAACGAACGTCATGGTAATCCCTATATCAGCAAGTTCAAGGGCGGGCATTCTTCCCAGTTCAGTTCATTCCTAGCAGCGGAAATATCTCAAGACTAAAAAGGACTGGAAAACAGCTGACGCTCGATTTACCGTTGTGGTGATCGGGCACCATCCTCGTCATCGGATGCAACTCATAAAACCAACACATGTCTGCCCCGGAGTCGATCCCCGTGCCCTTTAAATCTTCACGAAGAATTTTCCCTACTACCTACCTACTGCATCATCATCATCGTCATCATCGAATGCAATGCAACGCTACTGATACTGTTTTGATCCTCTTCCGTTGCCCTGTTCGTCGGTTAGCAACAGAGAGGACAAAAAGAGAAGAAAGTTTCCAAATACCTAGGACTAGCGTCACTCGCCGCCGAGTAGATGGGATAAACCTAAAATAAAGAAATCCAAACACTAGAACAGAGAAACGAACACACATGCTCCGGTGCTTGATCGACGTCGTCGTTGCGGTCGGTGATCGAGCGCGCATTAGCAGCTCACGATCGGCTGTTGTTTGGACGAAAACATGACGGCGTGTTTACAATATTTCGTCTGCTTACCGGTTGCGGTGACGGCGTCCGTTCATTCGAACGATTAACCATGTTTAAAAATATATATAGAAAGAGAAAAAAAATGAAACTCGCCCAAAAAAAAAAGTAGATTTTCCTCGTCTTCCCACAGAGGAACGAAGATTTCAGGATGAAGATGAGATGACACAGCGAAAAGCGTTTTGGCTTTAAATATAGACTTTGTGTTTGCTTTGTGTTTCACCTTCTTCTTCGCTTTGCTCTGGTTGATAGTTTTTTTTCTCCTTCCTTCATTGCAATGTTTGTGTAGGTTTCCTATGCGGCAAAGCATAGGAATGATCCTAATCAGAAGAACATGTTCAAAGAACCGTTAGGTTTCCAAGCGGGATTCCCATTGGAATGATGTCTGCGCTGCTACTTGAGTGGGGTTTGTTTGAACTATTTACACTGGTATTTCTGTTTCGTTAGAATTTAGGATATTTGCGTTTTATTTTAAACTGTTAATTCGATGCTTGAATATGCAAAGTATTGTTAAATTGACAAAAGCATGAGGTTAATTGAATCGCGTCACTTGTTTTAAACATAAATGAGGCATCTTAAATCTGTAATGATTACCAACCGACCTGCCTCTTAAAATAATCGTATTAAGATTTATAGAAATTCAGTAGTCTGCGCGTAGACACAAATCTGATTCGTTCTTCTTATATTATTGTATGAATAACACATTTTTATTTTAACTTCAATATGTCGATAATTTTCTCCAACTCCAAGTAACTGTTGTTGAGGAATAAGTACAGAACTGATTATTTCACTGGTTTCTCGCAACAACCATTCAACAAAATCAACTGAAGTGTGAGTCATCATATATGTTATTTTTTTTTGAACTCATGGGAAGTTGTAGATATTGGAACCACTACTATTGAAAGTCATCGATTCCTGCTAATCAGAATCACTATTACATCACCCGGAACAATTAACTTAGACTCGGTCTATCGAATCACTTGAGCTATCAATTAAACAACTGAGCACACAACGCTGCAGTTCTCTCCGCCTGTAGTTGAAATACCAATCAAGCCATCAATCACCATTACCCAGATTCCCTCATCTATCACTATCGATCAATTCCTCGAAAATAATCCAACACTTTTCCTATTTCTTGTTGTAGCTACTGACCTCAAACGATGGATATTACCTAGTGTATTACCAAACGATTATGTTGCAACAACAAACTCAGGTATTTCCAATTGGGATGTTTTAGATATGTTGGGATGAATTCTTATTTTTTTTTTGCGGAATTGTAGAAACTTCGATGTAAGTTCGGTTTATAAATGTCCGAAAAGATGGAGCAGAATCGAGCTAACTAAATTGAATACAGTAATTTTTGATCGGAATTATCAACTTTCAAACTTCCTTGAAACTTGGATTTGAAAAAAAAAATCACTTTAAATCAATCTTCCTGTGCAATGTGCAAAAGGTGTTTAATAATAATAGTTATAACTTTGGCTCAGAAACGGGTTTCATCATTTATGAGATTACATCGTCCCTATTGCATCTATCTCCTATGATTTACGGAAACGACATGGGGTTTTTTTGGTTTGCGATGCGTAGAGCTAAACCTAATTCTTGTGGAGTATTGCCAAATGTTTTATCGGGTAAATTAAATGGTGCTAGGAGTTTTATTCAAAGGCCTTATGGGTGAATTTCAGATGAACGAGCTCAACGAGCATTTTTGCAAGTTGAGCAAATTTAATCAAATAAAAGGGTATTTCGATGATTTTGGGCCTAACATTAACTCAGCTCCCACTGGGTGTTAACACATTCCTGAAGTTTGATAAAAATCCATTTCCGTCTTTACGTTGTAGTTAGTTCGTGTAAAATTTAACCTCAAATGGGTATGTATGTCTCTTAATAGATATTATACCCAGAATCTTCATAAATTGTACTCAATGATGTTCAATGTCGGTTTTTTAAACTGAGCTACCCTTTAGGCTACCCCCAAGGACGAGTGAAATAAATATGTATAGAATGGTCAACATCAACGATAGAAGTGAACAAGATCAGTTACGTTAAAGAATACCTGCATTTTTGGAAGATTACATTAACTGAACATACCATTCTCGTTTCGAAGGCTAAACGACCTATAATTAAAGCACATCTCAGCAACAGTCGTTACACTACAACCAAATTTCCTTGAAATAATTGACAAGTTTTGAAATAAGTTAAAACTATTCCTCTATCATGAAAGACTTTTTGGTGTACCCTCTAATGCGTGTTGAGAACCGCTGAACTGAATTATAATTTAGGATTATGGTATTGTTAGGATGGAAATATTGTTGATTGCTTGGAGTAGCACTTTTATACTTGAATAAAATACCAACGATAAGTAGTCTAGCATTGCCTTGACAGCATAGAGTTGATTTTCTGTGTATTCTAGGAATTCATTGTAAACCTGGTTAGCTCGGAAAATAAGCTTCTCAGTCAAGTTTTAGTATTGTGATGCTGCTGCTATTGCTGTTGAGATGAAATATACTCACAGAATTTTGAAGGTGAAAGTGCTGCTTTTACGATTTCTCACTGGAGAAATCCTGCCGCGAATCAGCGTTTGGTTAAGCGTATAATCCGGGATATATTTCTTGCGAGGCTGGGTCCCAGCATGCTCAACGAAAAATAAAATTATAATGGGATTAAAGACAAGTGTTTCATATGCAAGATGTATGGGGAACTGAGTGGATGTCTGCCCCTTGCGTGGAATTCGGAAACAGTTAGAAACTAAGGGTGAAAAAATGTCCATGCGAAGAACCTCTTCTCGTATCGTGGAGTAAATCGAGGTAAGAATCGAATCAAAGAAATTGCGGAAAACTTTATGCGATTAAGCAAGCCATTTTATATCCAGATGGTTGCAGTTTCTTTCACACATCGTTATCAATCAGAGTAACATCCCGGTTACTGTTTGAACTGATTATCTGGCGCTAACCACGTTTATAATTTGTGGATTTTGGCAACACGTGATTTTTGTCTTTTTTGAATTCTATAAAATGTTTAGAACGCTTTATTCAATTTGCGATTTTACTGAACCGTTCTTCATGGATGTGATATTTCATGAAAAAATGTCCAGAAAGAACTAGTACATGGAATGTGGTTATCTTCATAGAATGGACACGCTGTCAACCATACCAACTAACATTACCAATAGATGAGGGATTGCCTCATATCTAGTACGAGTCATCTTTAAGATGATTCGCTGTGGAAACCTTATGATGATTAATCGCATTATTACCATTATTGCTCATATCACATCACACCACTTATGATCGAGTTGTTGTTGTAACTTGAAAACCATTCAAATCCGGCACTGACAACGACGACAACAAGTTTAACAAAACACACGATCAGCAAGCAATCCCAAGTAACAATTCTGGTTTTATGAAGGTTCTGAAGACCATGATTTATGTTTTAAATGCTCGATGAACTCGTCAAACTCCTTAATATGATGGGGCCTGGGTATGATCCTACGATTTTCTGCTCAGTAAAAAAAATTGATGTCTAAGGCAGCCGGAGCCCCTCATGTCACAACAAGGCAATTTAGAAATTGCAGTTCATTTAAAAAGAGCATAAATATCACCATGTTGTCTCGAAGCTCCAGAAGAAAAAAACTCTAAAAATATTAGACCATGGTAAAGTTTGTAGGGAACGCCATTTTGAACTGCTCTAATGATGTAAATTATGTAATTAATTTCGGTGAATACGGTAAAACATACTGCCGTCTAATGACGTGCACTACAGCCTCGGTATTTCATACAAAGAAGGTACCTGCTGTGAGTTATCAGGCCCTCTGTGTACTGGAAAATGATATCCTTGATGTCCCATTGCCGAGAATTCATCAATCAATTTCGATCTGTTTTAAGGGTCAACTCCAGAGGCTGTATGGGTTAATTTCAAAACCCTTTCGGGGAAAGTTTAGAAATCCTATGATTCAACTCCCGATGGCTGTTAGGTTGAGACCATAGGTTTTGAGATTTTAACTCTGTATTTTGTCAAAAGGCTTATAGAAATAAGAATCTTTTAGAAATCTTATGACTCATGAGTTAATAAAGACACTATTCCCTAAAAGGTTTTCAAACATTATTTATAATATTTGTCAACCTTGTAGTGAATACATCTTGACTAACCTGAAGATCATGCATGAGTTTATTTGCCTATGAGTTTAGCCTTTGAAATTCAACTGAGCAATAATCAACAATGAGATTTCCGGATCAAAAATTCATTGTCTTGTTCTTGCATTATTAGATGGGAAACTAACAAAAGATGCATGAGCATGAATGGTTTTTATGTGGTGAAGCTGGGATAAATTTTTGTCGTTGTGAGTATGACTGTGAGTGCTTCAAAATTCATGAGGAGCTCAAGCGTGAGATTTGTTTTGCAGATTTGCACGTGAGTTTTTATTTATTTCAGCATAGCTCAATGAATGAGATGTGAGAATGATTTTCCGAACCCTGGTGCCCGTTCTGCCCCTCCACTGATGCTGCCAGTGCACACCATACGTGTTAACTACGTTAATATATGGGTCAACTCCAAGAGACCACTTAGAATTCATGTAGGACAAATCCGGTAAGCTAGGTAGGTAACTTTTGAGATTGTATGGGGTTCAGAGCAATTAAGCAAGGTTCAAGGGACAAGTCTTATTATCTTGCAAAGCATGACCAGAGGAAATAGGTTTTATTGAGAGGCAAATCTTTGAGATATTTTTAAAAAATAAATCAGACATCTTTTGGAACAATCTCAGCGCACCTGGTACAAGTTTCAATAAATGAGAAGTTCTGATAGCGGGCGTATTTGTTAAATTTATTTAAATTCTTAATTTGCAATACATAGAGGAAATGGCTCTAATGTTGGCCTATGGATCTAAGATTGGGCCCCATCGCTAAAAATCTGCTATTTATCAATTTTATCTAAATGAACGCGTCATTGCGATGGTACTAATGGATATGATGCTTTTATTTATTTAAACCTTCAAATTAACTCGACAAAGGACAAGTTAAGACATGTTTCTTAAGATTTTGTGTTCTTATAACAGTTCTCGTCTAATTTAACATAGCAAAATGAACGTAAAATTATACGAGGTATGCAATCCCGCGAATACAACGTATATTCGTTATGAGTCAGGTTACACAGTAGGATCAGACTGGAGAGTTACACGATGTGTATGGTAAAACAATATTATTACAAAAAAATAAACATCGCTGAATCCTTTATTTTTCAAAAACTGACGGTTTTTTTTTATTTGAGACCTGTTTGAAAATAATCTACCGAGGGAAGCCGACATTTTTTTTTTATATTTATCATCCTAAAAATTATATAAGATAGCAAACTTATAACACAAGCTTTCCAGGTTCAAATTGTATGCTGGTCTTTGATTTAACTCATTCGGAAAATATATTGTTCATTTAATTTTGATGACATTCTAGTATATTTTCGTGAAATCATTAACTCAATAGAGTAAGTGGACCAGTGAACATTTATTCAAAATTTGAGCTAGACCCTAGAGCCAAAAACTAGAGCACATAACTGGCTCACTTACCCTAGGACAAAAACAACCCGCCGTAAGCGAGAAATGTTACAGCTCTCTAAAGCAAGGTTGGCTAATTTAAATATAAGTATCATAATATTCAAAGCAAAATCGACCTTGCTGTGCCAACATCATGTTTAGCTTGAATCAAAATGACAAAAAGTTGAATTTCATTTTTACTTCAACGAAAAGGCCTGTTTTTTATGAGATTGCAAAAAAAATCATTTAGTTATAGTCTGGCAAACGGCATTCACTTACTGAAACCCATAAAATAGATAGATAAAACTACAACAAACCGGAAAATGAAAGTTTATCCTTGTAGTCCTGTAAAAAGGTATGCAACATCTATCTATTGAATAAATATTAATGAAATGGTGTTCGTATGTCACGCTATAACTTGAACGGATTGACGAATTTGCATGATTCTTTTTTTTTTTTCGTCTCGATTCCCGACGGGTTTATATCACACAACTAGGCAGTACGTCGTTTGCCGGGACAGCTAGTCTGTAATAAATTATCGGATACACAGATTCTGTAACGTAACCGTTGGAGGAGTTTTCAATGATTGTATACAATTATTGTTTGTTTAAAGTTTAAGTTAGTTTTCGCCTGTTTCCACCAACGGCTTGAACCTAAAATATGACCTTGTGATGGTTTTGTACGAAAAT